GGAGACACTCCCGTGCCAGCGGCCGAGACCCAGGTCGGGCAGGCACACGAGCCTCCTTGGCTTAAAAGCCCCAAGAACCAGTACCTCTTATCTTTTTATTTTATTACTAGAGGCCGGGTGCACGAGATTTGTGCACGGGGAGGTGGGGGGGGGCGGGGCTCAGCTCACCCTGCACCCTCTCGCAATCTGGAACCTTTCAGGGGATGTGCCCGGGACCACTAGCTCCTAACTGCTTGCCTGCCTGCCTGATCCCCCCTAACTGCCCGCCTGCCACTGCCCGCCTGCCTGCCTGATTTTGCCACTAAAACTCAAGCTGCTTCTTTATTTTTAATATTTATATTTCTTCTTTATTTTTTATTTTAAAAGTCAAGCTTCTTGAGAACATGGGGCGTTTAACATGATTCCACGCTCCTTACAGAGAGCTAAACCTGGTAAGCACAGCAAACACTTAATACTCACGGCTTCTGCACAAACACTTTGCAGCCAGGAGTGTTAAATAGGCCGCCTCCAAACACTGGGACGGGAAAACCTAAAAGCAGAGGCTCAGATTCCAGGCAGCGGGTGCCAGGAGCAGGACTTCTATCCCAATTAAACTCTAATTCTCAGCTCTCAACAGTCTGGACAAACTGCCCTTCGCTGGCTCCAAGGTTTCTTATTTGTCACTGTCCCATTTTCCTTTTTTGAGTTCAGTGTCTTATATCCACATCAGTATCAACGTACCATACAAAACCCACCGGCCGGCCGAGCTGGGCAGGCGGGGGGGGGGGGGGAGTCCATGGCAGCATAGAAAACCAGGGCTTTGTCCCAAAAGAGGAGAAAATGGGTTCACAGTCAAGGAAACAAAATCGAACCCGACACGATCAGGGAGAATGATCTGGACACCTGGGAACTGCGTCGAGCGGAGGTGCTGTGGGCGGCGGCGCTCACCTGGCCCAGCAGTCTCTGCAGCAGCCTCGGTTCCTGGGAAGCCGGGGGTCAGGCAGGCCCAGCTCTTGAGGTTATTTTTATTTTATTATTTTTAAAAAATATATATTTTATTGATTCTTTACAGAGAGGAAGGGAGAGGGATAGTTAGAAACATCGATGAGACAGAAACATCGATCAGTCGCCTCCTGCACACCCCCCACTGGGGATGTGCCTGCAACCAAGGTACATGCCCTTGACCGGAACTGAACCTGGGACCCTTCAGTCCGCAGGCCGATGCTCTATCCACTGAGCCACTGCTTTGGGGGGAGGAGGGCTTCTGGGCAGCAGCTCCATGGGGGGAACCGGGCGGGTTTCACTTCAGGGTTGGGAGGAGAAGCTGAGTCTGTGGGGCGGGGCCCGCCGGCCCCAAATGTCACAGCTGAGGTTCTTGGAAGTGGCCCAGCCAAGTTCCTTCCTGCCTTCTTCCTGCCCTGACCCAGGTCTATGGCTTAAAAATCAGGGCACCAGGCTGGGGCTGAGCACCCCAGGGGCCTTTGTAATCAGGGCAGGTGCAGGCAGGGTGGGGGCAGCCAGAGCCAGGGGAGGGCAGTGCCCATGAGGGCAGGGGGCATGGGGAGTGTGGAGAGCGCCTGGGAAGGCACATGAGCATTTCTTTAATTATTGTCAGCTGAATCCAGTGGCGTTGGCAGAGCCACGTCCTGGAAACACACCAGAGGCAGGTGTGTTGTCAGCCTGACCTTCAGCCCGGGTGCCAGGGGGTGGGTAAATCCAGCCAAGCACCAGGAACAAACACAATTATCCAGGCTCAGCCGGGAGTGACGATTACAAAGAAGCCACAAGAACGCACATAATCTCCTTTGTCTTTTTCTGTATAAAATAAAAATGTTGTATTGGCTCTGGGTCCCTGTCTCTCCATCAGAGGACAGCTGTCCCACCCGCCCCCAGCTTTTTCCTTCTGTCTCTGTCTCTTTCTTTCATTTTCTCAATCCCCGGCAGCCCCTACTCAGGAACGGGGCCGCTCTCTAGCCGCACTGGATGAGAAGAAGAGAGAAATATTTACAGGGTTGGAGGAGGTATGCTGCTCTAACAGAGACTTAGAGGTACAGGCACTAAGAGAGTCAGGGAGGACAGAGATGGGGATAGAACGCGTGACAGGAAGAGAGACTCAGAAAGCAAGAGCGAGATTGAGACAGAGAAAGATTCACAAAGAGACAGAAAGATGGAGTCCTGCTCTGTATGAGTCATCGGGCTGGGGGTGGGGGTGGGGGCGGGGCTCACATGGGATGTGTCAGTGTGACAGTAAGTGCATGGTTGTGTTGCACGAGGGAGGGGTGCTGGTCATGCCGCACCAGCTCCTGCAGCGACCCGTACAGGCTGTAGGGCTCGCAAAAGCCAAGCCAGGGGCCGAGCGGTAGATGACACAGCGTTTGGAATCGCCGTCCACCCCACTGAGCAGGCACAGGGGTCCGCTGGCTGCTCTCAGGGATGAGGAAGGTCTCCTCCCGCCTGCCGTCCGGCATTTCCTCGTCCTGCGGGCGGTGGATCGTGCCCACATGCCAGGTTCGCCCCTCACGGTGGGGGAGGGCACCCTCATCCTCCATCAGTGCAGACTGGGCTTCAGGCTCCTTTGTGATTCCCGAGCATCGTTGATTTTCTCCCGCCGGGCGGGCGCCTTTCAGGGGGAGCCATCCAGGTCCTGGTCTCGGATCGTGCACAGCTGCACGAGGTCTGGCTCCAGGCTGTTCAGGCGCCGATCGATCTCCCGGTTGTCCGAGGCCTGTGTGCGCAGCTCCTGTTCCCGCTCCGTGCGGCTCTCGCGGATCCCTGGGATGCGAGACTTGCGCCCTCTGAGCTCCGCGGGACCCTCTGCGTCTCTCCTCACTGCCCTCAGCCAAGCGCTCCAGGTCCTCGCTGGCGTC